GAGAGCAGGGTGGATGAGGGCTGGAAAGGGCCCTGGGAGAGAGCAAAGAGGTAGAGAGGTGGAGAGAAAAGAGTGGATTTGGGGAGGAATGGAGGACCTTGAAGAATGCAGAGGAGGGGACAGAGATGAGGGAGGATGGGCAATGGGCACCAAAAGAGCTTGGTAATATTGTCCCGCACACGCTGGGGTGGTTCACATAGGGAGGCCAAGATTACTCCAAAGCGGGCCAGTCTTTGCATGCTCCGTTGAACTGGGGGGGTTGGGGGAAGGGAGGGAAGAGGCCTGGTAGACATGTCACATGTGCCCGTGTGAGGAACCAAGCGCTGCCTCTCCTCCTCTCACCCCGGCCTGCTAGATGTTCGCTGGTTGGAATCATTGCTGGTTACTCTCCCCAGCCCTGCCCGGAAAACTGCCAGTGAGAGACATCACACATATGAGCCGCAAGCCCAAAGTTAAACCCACTCCACAGGACTGCCTCTCTCCAGGTTTATAATCAAGACAAGCAGAGAAAATTTTTAAATCATATGGACTCAAGTTCATTCAGCAGCTGCACTGCTGGAGCTAAGCAGGGGCAACTCTGGACTCACATGTCCAGATGCTTCCACGAGGACGAGTAGGGAGGCCTGGAGGAGAGGGAGTGACTTCTGACGTGGGCAGAGGCTCAGTCTCTCCTTGAAGTGAAGAATCAATAAAACCCATGGGCAGCCAGAAACACCGATGATTAGAGGAAAGAGAGGGAGGGAAACGATGTTGTCAACCACTCGGTCCTAAATGAAAGGCGAGCAGAGAGAGAAAAGTGTTCCGGATGCTGGGAGGTGGCCTCCAGGGAGAGGAATTACGAATCTTTGCCTGGGTCCTAACCCAGCAGGTAGAGAGGGTGCGGGCTGGCTATGAGGGAGTGCCAGAGGGAATCCCACAGAGCCCTGGGCTTTGGATAAAACGGTCCACCCACATTTGCCTTTGACAGGGGGCCCACTTTGCGGATGAGAACCCTGAGGCTAGGAGCAGAGAAGGTGGCCCCGGGAAGTTGAGGGGGCTGGGACCCCCTTGGAGCCCATTCTCCAAAAGTGGTGCCTTCTCAACAATTTTAAAGGGTGGCCTATCAGTGAAAACAATTTTCAACAATTTGAAAGGGTGGCATATCAGAAAAAGAAGGAAAACAGAACCAAGAATAACCTAGAAAGCGTGGGCATTTTTTTTTTATGAGAGGTCACACCTGCAACCTAAAGCGAAAGCCCAGCTCTCCTTCTTTCTTTAGCCCCACACCCTCACTAACCTGGGCGGGCACCTCCTCCTGATTCACTTTTCTGCCGCTCAGCCCAACTACTCTGGGCCCAGAGGTCCTGGTCCCCACACCTGACTAAGCCCTGCCTCCCTCTCCTCTCCAGGTCTGTTGGCGGAAAAGGACAGTAATTACTGTCTCTGCAGGACACCCTGCAACCTGACCCGATACAACAAAGAGCTCTCCATGGTGAAGATCCCCAGCAAGACATCAGCCAAGTACCTTGAGAAGAAATTTAACAAATCAGAAAAATATATCTCGTAAGCTCAGTGGGCATAGTGGATGGGGGAGTTAGGAAGGGGATATGGATCAGGAGGAAACTGGGAGCAATCGAGTTAGAGGGCAAAAGTAAGCAGTTCCACTTAGCAGACATTAATTGAGCACCTGCTGTGTGCCAAGTTCTGTGCTCAACATTCAGAATATGAAGACAAAGATGATTAAGATATAGCCCCTGCCCTTCAGGAGCTTACAGTCTGGTGGGGAAGCAAGTACACAACTGAATGCTATAAAGGCTGATTCAGGCAATAAGGGAGGTAGTTGGCCGCACCTTGAATGGGGACACAGTAAAGGAAAACTTCAGAGAATGTTTTAAAGGATGTATAGGAGTTTTCCAGGTAGGCTTTGTACATTCTGTTCCCTCTGCCTAGAATGCTTTTCCTCTCATTCTTCATCTAATTGGTCCCTCATCAGGCAGGTCTTTATTTAAATGTCATTTCCTCAGACAGTTAAATTAGGTCCCCGATTATTTTTCTCTCAAAGCACTCATGTTTTCCTTTATGACGCTCGCCACCATGCGTAATTCCATATCTATGTGTGTATTTCCTGCCCCACTAGATTGAAAGTTCCCTAAGGGTAGAAACCTTTCTTTTTTGTTCTCTGTTGTGGAGTGTCTGGCACAGGGCTGGTGCTCAAAAGATATGTTTTCACAGAATAAATGAATGAATGACACGGGAGAAGAGCATGTCCCAGGCAGAGGTTCAGGAGGGGGAATCAGCACAGGACAGACAAAAGAACTGCATGGGGAAGCTGGGCCAGGCAGCCATGTCTGAGCAACAGGACCCTGTAGGCTGAGCTGGGCAAGGAGCGGAATTTATCCTAAGAGAACAGGGAACCACTGGAGAACTTCAGACAGGTGACAGGCTCAAATTTGTATTTTAGACCACTGCTCTTACGTAGAACCTTCTGTGATAAAGTGTTCTATGTCTGTGATGGTCAGCATGGTAACCACTAGCCACATGTGGCCATTGAGCATTTTAGATGTAGCTTGAGTGACTCAGGAACGGAGCTGTGATTTCATTTAATTTGAATTAGTTTAGCAGTTTTAGAGAGATCCTTCAGGTGGCAGTTTAGAGGATGGATGGAAAGCCAGATGGGCAGAAGGGACCCTGTTAGGAGGCAGTTGCCATAAACCAGACAAGAGATGGTGACACTCTGAATGGTACCTAGGAGAGCCCTGTGTGGAGAAAGGGGCATCCTCTCTCCCCAGCCACTTCCTCTTGCCAACATAGTCACCAAAGCCCATCCTGGGGCTGATATCTACAAACCTGGCTGCTTTTATTCAGTGGGTTTGGGACCGGGGCTCTGAAAGCATTATGAGCAGCATGGAAGGAGATGGAGAATTGTAGGAGGAGCCGGGTCCTGCTGCCTATTCTGCACACAGATATTCTGCACACAGTAACAACTTCTCCTGCCAAGATGTGTCTCATTAACACACCTGCCCCAAGGAGCAAAAGGGAACCAGAGTGCTTCTGCCAGAAAACCCCCTAGCCACGTGTAGATTTGCACCCAAAAACCCTCCCTGGCTCTGGCAGCCGATTTGGCAATGCCAGGGTAGGACCTCCCACTAGGAGAAGCTTGTTGTTAATCCCATTAGGAACCTGGGGACATCTCAGGAGTGAGCAGGGGATGTCAGCTGGGGCAGGCAAGGCAAGCCTTGTCAAGAGAGTCCTGAGCTCACCTGCAGGTAAGGACGCAGGCAGACCCTCTGGAGGCCCAAGGACCTGGAGGCCAGGTGGGACTCCTGGAAAGCATCCAAAGAGGGAAGGAGAAATAAGGGGCAAAGGGGGACAGCTGATATATGCCTCCGGTCCTGCGAAGAGCACTGGGCTGGGAGTTGGGACTATTGGTTTCAAGCCCCACCTCTTCCACTAACCAGCTTGAACTTCGGGCCAGTTGTTTCACTTCCCTGGACCTCAGTTTCTCCGTCTGTCTATGGGACAGCTGTGTTAGATGGTCCCTGTGGATCGCGATGGTTCTAACCATGTATGGTACTGAACGTTCCCTCTGCAGAGAGAACATCCTTGTTCTGGATATATTTTTCGAAGCTCTCAATTACGAGACAATTGAACAGAAGAAGGCGTATGAAGTTGCTGCCTTACTTGGTAAGTCGAAGTATCTATTGCACAAATTTCCACATCGTATAGGGGTGGGAGGGAGTGGGGATGGGCAAGTGAGTGGCAGGCAGAAAGGTAGATATAGAAGCCTCCCAATGAGTCTAGCCTGTATAGTCACTAATTGTTCCCTCTCTCCTTGCACACCTCCCGTCCCAGAATGGAAAGAACTGTGTGATGCAGGTTTTAGGCCCAATTTATGCTGCCTCGATTTCCCCATCAACACAGTGAGGCAGGTGAACTAACGGTCTCTCACGGCCTTTCCAGAGCTGCCCGCTTGGAACCCATAGCCTTCTATCCCCAGGGTGGAGTCAGCCTTGGGGCTGTGGTGGGAAGAAAGAGCTATCAAATGGACAGAGGACTGAGCTGTGGTTGATCCCCAGGTGGTGGACACAGTGAGGGCGCCCAGTGGACCGCCTACCTGGAAAGCAACATTGCTGCATTGAGGCCAGGTGTCACCCCTGAACTGAGTCCTTTGTCAAACACAAAAGAAGGGCTATTTGTCCTCAGATATCTACAAACCCGACGGCCACCCCATACAAGTTCACATCAGCTCCCCTGGCCCCATGGGCACATAATGGACGCAGCGAGTTCATTTCAACCCTGCCACAGCCCAGCGCAAAACTCACAAGACCCCTGAGGGTGGACGGTTAGAAAACATGCCCCTTGGGCCCTCCTCCCAGCTCCCACTCACTCTCAAGAAAGGGTCTGTTGCCCGTCCCTGCAAGGAAGAATAGCTGCTGGTGTCCATGTGAGCTGAACCAGATGAGAGTGTCATCCTGGGAGTAGGGGTCGGGGGGAAGGGGACAGACACCTTCTACCTGGAAGTATAGAGGAAAGACCAGCTGTGAGAATGGGGGCAAGCTGCTTCCCCTCACTATGAAATGGGTCTACTAAAACTCACTTTAAATGTTTGTTGTGATGGTTCAATGCGAGAAAGCCCAGCACGCAAAAGATACATTAAGAATTGTTTCTGATATCGAGACAGCCTCCAGGCCAGAGGCCAGGGCCCAGCTGGTATTTCTAGGCACCGTCTGAGCATTTCTGCACCTCTCCCAGGAGGCTGGGGCCACAGCTGGGTCCCAGTTGGGTTAAAATAGCTGTCACTCACCCCTCGGAGGCTGTTGTGGCCAAAGGAACTGAGCCTCGAGATTCGCATCCTGGGCCCAAGGTAGAGGCCGTGCGCCGGAGATATAGGTCCATCACCTGCCTGCCGCCTTTGTCTCCTAAAGAAGACTCAGGACATGCGTCCTCCCCTCCCATTTCTTCTGCTCCCCCACATAGGTGTGTGCACATGCACGCGTGTGTGTGCGCGCGCGCACACACACACACACACAGAACCGGGAAGGCCTGATCTCTGAATCTGTCAGGAGGGACGGCTCTTCTCTGCATCAGATATGAGAATGAGCATATTACCAGCATCTTGTTCCCACCCAGAATAGCCTGCTGAAAAAAGCATGCTGCCATCTGTACCTCCATGATGAGAGCGTGTGCCGCGTGTGAACCCTCAGCTCCCAGGCCCAGTCAGGCCCTCACCTCACTGCCAGGCGGCCCACCCTCACCTCAATGCACACTGCATCTCAACAGCCATACACACACCGTGGTGAGCCACACACCTTGTGTGCACCTGCACAGACCCACATGCAAGCCATTCAGCTACAGAGACACATACGTGCACACCTACTGCAAGCCTACGCACTCACGCACTCATTACATACGACTGCCCATGCACACACACTCACACCTACACGTGCTTACTCACGTTCCACACACCCAGACACACTGTGCCCACTTCCACCAAGCCACACTCACACACGCTTAGAAACATTCGGTGTACCTATCCTGTACATAGATAGCCACCTACATAAAGCCATTGATGGGCAGACGTGCTGCCTGCTTCCACACAAACATGTGAACGCACAGCACCCTGCCTTACACGCCACACTCAGTCGCACTGCATGCACACATAAGTACACACTCACACCTGACGTGCACACAGGTGTGCAGTTTCCAATAAGCCTCTATTAAGGATATTAGAGTGACCATTGGGGGAGAGGAGGAATAAAGGGGAGCAATTTTGAGACCAGCAAGAAGTGCCCCCTCCCCACCATCTCAGCTTGTTTATCTGGGGGTGTGGTTGCTGGGCTCCTCCCAGCTGTAACAGTGGAGAAGTGGGCAGATGTACCCATCAGAAAGTTCTCAGACCAAGAAGTCAGCCTGGAATCTCCAGTAGGACTATATGCCCACTGCCAACAACACCCCCCACTCCCGGCGCTCCCCCCAGCCCAGTCTGAGAGATTACAGCTGAGAAGGACTTCACAGCTCATCTCCTCCAGCCCCCTCCCGAGCCACCTCCACCATCAAGTGTTCTTTGAAGGAAAAGCTACTGAGAAGGTCAGGACCTATCAAAGCCACATAGCAAGCTGGTGGCCCCTCTAAGCTTGGACCCCCCAGAGAGCAATGGAGCAAAGCACTTTGGGGCTTTGGGGGGATCACAACCCCTTGGAGACTCTGATAATAGCTTCTCAGATATGAACTCTCCCACTACAGATGCCCAGGTACACACACATAGCATTTTCATTCAATTTCAGGAACTCCGTGACCATTTGAAGCTCTGATGGGCCCAAGAACCACCTGGGGAACCTAAAAATCCTGACTCTCCAACCCCCAACCCCAGAGATCCTGATTGTATAGGCCTAGGATAGGTCCAGGCGTCTACTCTGATTACAAGTCTCCCAGGAGTTTGATGCAGGGAGATCTGAAGACCAGTCTAGAAGAACTTTGGTCAAGGGGGCCCACGCACCCCAGGGCAAGATTCCTGCCCTAGAAAGAAACCACACTGAGCATTTATTTACCTTTAGGTGAGGGAGACAGGGGTGCTTCTTAAGGGTGAGGGGCCTTATCCCAAGGGTGAGAGGAGCCCCATGTCATGATTAGACCAGGCATGGGGGAAGCTTTCTGTGCCACTGTTCCCAGACTCCCGACCTGTGTGTCCCAGGCTAGACTGTGCCCTTGACCAGGGCAAGGACCACACACATCTTATTTATATTTCCAGCCCAGAGTCAAAGCAAGGCCTAATCAGTGTGGTTCTGAATGTAACTGGCAAGCCTATTAGCCTATGAGGTGTATTCTAGGCCCTAACAATAAGCTTTCAGGTTAGCTCCCATCCCCACTGGGTACTGCAAACCATCATCTCTCAGAGCTGTGCACTAAGGGAAGAGCTCGTCAAGGCCTGGCCTTCCAGTGGAGGGGGAACCGTTCAGAAGGTCTGGTTCCCGAGTACTTAGTGTCTTCACCCCTTCCTGGAAGCACTGTGAGTAAAGCCAAACCTTTGGTCTTTTCTCTCTCTCTCTCTCTCTAGGTGATATTGGTGGTCAGATGGGATTGTTTATTGGTGCTAGTATCCTCACAATACTAGAGCTCTTTGATTATATTTATGAGGTAAGATTTGAGATTGGTCATGGGGAATTGACCATATACAGGTGCCCTTATCCTGCCCCTATGTCTAGAACCAAAGCATGGGGGAGAGGACAGCCTCCCTCCACCAGAACCTGCTTTCTCTTCCCTGTCCATGGATATTGTCTATCACCAAGCCCTTGGCCTGGGGGAGGGGCGGATGAAAGTGAGACGAAAGCCACAGTCCTATAGGGAAGAGCCATGGGCTTTCTACACTGTCAGGGAGGGAGGGGAAGGGATGAGGAGGAGGAGATGAGATCGGGCTGAGGCCAGCTCTGAGCCCCTTCCACAGCTAGGCCAGATGTGGTGACACCCACCCATTCATACGATGTGAACACACTCACATGCCCCCACACACATATACACATACACTCACATATATATCACACACACACATGCACACACTCCTCATAAATATACACACCATTCACACACACATATGCCACACACACCTGCCCTCTGGGTGGCCTGTCATCTGAGTGGTGCCTTCGTGGTCCAGGCAGGATGAGGAGGTAAGGGGCAAGCCTCACCAGTCCTGAGAGGAGCAAGGGCACACCAGCCACTTCTGGCTGTTAACAGTCTGAAGAGATGTCTCCCTCAAGAAGCAGCGGTAAAAAAGCCTCCGAAAGCTTCTCAAACAGCCGACAACTGCTTCTGGCCCTGAGAGCTTATGGTGCCCGTTAGCCTTCCCACCAGCACCTCCCCAGACCCAGCTGGCTCCAGGGGCTCCAGATTTCCTAAGGCACACCCAGCCCATGCAAGTCTCAGCCCAGCAAACAGCCTACAGGGCCGTGTCTGCCTCTCTGAGAGGGCCGGCGATGGGCAACGCTTGGTCACGGGGAGTCACTGTGAGGGCTGGAAGCCCCTGTGAACAAGGTCCCCTAGAGTCTCACACCTGGCCTCTCAGCATGGTGACCTTGTTCCCCAAACCCAAACCACATCCCATGGCCAGGTATTAGTCTTCATTGTTTATTAATTTTTGTGAGAAGCTGTACAAAGTTACGGAAATTGAATCATACCAGGTAACATTTAATAATAACTACCCTTTGCTACTAAGAATATAATGTTATGAGCTCGCGTGCTCTGATTTTATGAACTGTGGAGATGTCAGGCCTAGGAAGTGATGAGTAATCTTG